GCCTACATGGTCTGCCGGATAGAGTGGTTTCAGATCGTGGGGTCCAGTTTACTGCGCAGTTTTGGAAACGTTTAATGACGGCGTTACAAGTACAGGTGTGTCTAGCGTCAGTGCACCATCCGGAAACTGATGGTGGGACTGAGAAGGTTATTGGCATTCTCACTCAGTATTTGAGATGTTTTGTCAATCATCAACAGAACGATTGGGTGAAATACCTCCCATTAGCAGAATTTGCCTTTAATAACTCTCAACATACCTCCACTCGAGTAACGCCGTTTTACGCGAATGTGGGCTATCATCCGCGATTCTTCCCGTTGACTATGATGGATTCCCCGGTTCCCAAGACACAAGATTTTCTTGAGGAATTACAAGCGGTTCACCGTTTAGTAGTGCAACAACTAGAACGGGCGAAAGAAGACTACAAACAGTTTGCGGACCGTTCTCATAGAGCAACGCCTCCGTTAGCTGTGGGTGACAAGGTGTGGTTATCCACAAGGCACCTTCGGGTCGATCGCCCAATTAGGAAGCTGGACCATCGTTTCATCGGTCCGTTCCCGATTGAGGCGGTCATCAACCCTGTGGCGTATCGACTCACCTTACCGCGCTCCATGCGTATTCATCCTGTCTTCCATCGTTCTCTCTTGGTTCCTGACTCCCCGGAGTGTCCTCTTCGTGCTCCCGCTGGTGCGGTTTCTCCATCAACGTCCAGTGAGGAGGCTGATGTTGATGACACGGTGGTCAGCATAACTGATTCTCGTTGGCTAAAGGGTCGCTTCCAGTACTTAGTCGGGAGGAGAGCGGATGGCTCAGAGGTTTTTTCATGGACAGATGCTTCCGCAGTTCATGCTCCAGACATTATTCGGAGCTTCCATGAACGCTTTCCGTTGAAACCGCATCCGGATCGTCAGACCCGGGGGAAGGGTCCTGCGGTGAGGGATAGTGTTGTGACTCCGGGATTGGAATCTGCTCTGTTGGCAGATGTGAGTTCGAGCAAAGAGGATATGGCAGCGAAATATGAGCAAGCATTGCTGAGTGACTTGGATGTTAGCCAGGATGAGGAAATGGATTTAACAAGGAGAGATGAACCTGATTTAGTAGAGATGTCAGGACCTTCGACCTCTAATTCTTCCTCTGAGCAGCAGCCGGGAATAGCTAACAAGGAAAACATGCGAGAGTTTTCCAGCGAAGAAGAGAACTTTGAGAGATCCTGGCTTGATGTAAGAAATAGACGGAGATTGAGACGTCAATCTCAATTGGGAAGGAGGCGTTGAGCCAGTGACTAATTAGGGAAATTAACACGCTCCATAAGAGGATAAAAGGAAACGGCTTGGCTGGTGAAATTCGCCAGAAGCAAAGTGATTAATGGGAGTGAAAACACGAAGAGAACTCTTTGAGGCTTTGAGAATTATTGCCACGTCAGGATTGCCGGACAGAGTGTGGATTTACTGCTGAGGATTGGAAATACCTCAACAGTTCTTTTGTGGGGGTTTGTTTTTTGGATTGTGATATTTCTGGAACTGCTGAATTTCGTTTTGCTCACCTGTAATTAAAGGGGAGACATAACAGTCATGTTACTGCGATTTGCAATGGTTTTTGAGAAAATGTCCATTCAGGAGAATGGACTCATTCAATGACCGTGTGATTCCCACAATCACTGCTGTAAAAAGTTGAAAAAGTTGGTTAGGTCATATGGGTGTCTCAGTTTACAAGTGTAATTACTTATGGCCAAAATTCTGGTCTGAATGAGGGCTGCTCAGCTGAGAACTCTTGGCTGGAGTGAGGAGTCTGCTCTGGTAGCCGCCCCCACCTCCCTCCCGGGGAGGCTGCAAAAAATGCTCTGGCTGCAACTTGCATCATAGCCAGCCAGGCTGCTGGATGCTAGGTGATGATGCCAGGAACCAGGAACGATGGGAAGCCAATCCGGAGCCTGTGAAGACGACTAAGACTGGCTGGGAAGATCTAAGAGGCTAATGGACATTAAAAGCGCCACCACTAACCCTGGCCTCCCTGAAGCCCCTTTTTCAGCATTTCTTTTTTTAAAAAAGTTAGGTTCTTCCTGAAATGCATCCAGGTGGAGGGAGATATGGATGCGTGGTATTTTAAGAGAAGTGGACACCCAGCTGGGAAGGGAAAGAGAAAGGACCTTTGAATTTAAAAGCCAGATAGAAAATGGGAAGGAAGAACAGGGGGGAAATCCTGACTTGCATATATGCCTGAATATACGCTTTGTCTAATAATTTAGATAAATCAGAGAAACATGTTTCAGATACATGGAACTACCAGAAGCAAATAACAAAAATAAATACATTTAAAATGAAATACATAGCTTGTTCTAAAATCTGCTCTTGAAGCTGTTTGGCTGATATCGGATAAAATAAGACTCCTGATACGTGTGCATGAGGCAGGAAAGAAACTTTGTTTTTGTTTTTTTACAGAAACAGTAACTTTACATTTTCGATGAGCATTGCACGTTCAAAGCAAAGAAGCAACTTTGGGTTCTTTGAAACAAAGTCAAGTATAAAACCGTATTCACAAATATATCAAGATAGACTCTAAAAATCTTACCAAGGCATGCCAAGATGGCAGAGAACTGGATGAGAAGAGAGATTTAGGAGGAAAGAAAAAGGGACGATTTCCTCCTGAAACCACGGGATTCAATTCACCATGTGAACTTTCAGCCTTCGAACTATAGAATAACTATTCACCTAAGTTGAGGCATATTACTACTTACATTAATATATAGCAAGGCATGCCCCACTGCGTGAACATAATTTTTTATACACATTTAAAAAACCCAAACGTACTTTGTTCCGTCCCCGAAGCAGCTCTTCCCCCAGAACCTGGGCCAGCCAGCGAAGCTCAGGGCTGCTGCTGCTGCTGCTGCTGCTGCGGGGTTTGGGCCAGCAAGCAGGAGGAGAAAAGCTGTGGATATCGGGAACCACAATCCACAGCCACCTGGAAGGGGCCATCTTGGGCAGACATGAGCCCTGTTTCCTAACAACCTGATCCACCTCCAGCTAAGAGCAGAATCAGGTCCTGGAGAGCGGAAACAGGCTTGGGAAGTCGGGGGGAGGGGGGCTTCAGGAGGAAGCGTTTAATTCTCCCTGGACAAAACCTCACTTTCCCACTCTCTCTCTTGGAGTCCTTAGTGGATACAGGATGTTTTTTGTGTGCAACTTCCAGGAAAGATAAATAAAAAGTGCAAGACATCCCTGGAAGTGGCTTTTCACTAATCTACAAAAATTTTTGCAGTTCTTTGTTTGTGTATTGTCAGCACAATCCCTGCAATTTTCTGACTCTTCTTTCTTCCGGAGGGCGAAAAGAGGAGAAAGGATGTTTAAAAGCTGTGGCTTGGGCTACATTTCTCTAGCTGGGTATTCCAAATGCTTTTTACAAGGAGTGTTAAAATGCCTAAATTTTGTGACTTAAAACAATTAAGTAAACATTTTCCCCCCCATGAACTTTGATCCTGATAGGTGTGTCTCCCCGTGTTAAATGAAGACAAGTCCATCGTCAGGTTAAAAAACACTGTTGAGCTTACAGGGCTAATTCTTGCAATTCTTGCCAATTCAAAATTACGAAAGCATCAAGGTGTGTGCAAGGCCAATTTCGTTCTCCAAACAGCTCTTCATAATCAAGCCAAATCTTGTCTTTTGAAGTTAGTACTGGAGAAAGACCAATCTGGTAGGGAGGACGGTGCAAGAGGCCCCTGCCTCGGAATCCCCCCAGCTATGCAAACCTGACACCTCAGTCTTAGCATGATGGAAACCCCCGAGAAAGGCTGGGAACAACAGGGAGGCAACTGGCAACGTCAGTTCTTTAGGGGTCTGGACGATGATCAGAGGGAAAAGGAAGAGCGGATTTTGCTGGACTCCCACACAAAACGAGAAGGGGAGAAACCGGACAAGAGTGGGAAGGAGTGGCACAGCTTTGGTTCCTGCAAATCAGGCGAGAGAAGGGCAAGCTGAGTCGGTCCCTGCGTTCCTCCTCGCAAGCCACAAAGGAGGCAGGGGAGGGAGGGACAGACGAGATGCTGAGGCCCAGGAGGCATCAGGGCCGGGCTGGCTTCCCACAGCCTCAGGAGGAGGAGGAGGAGGGCCCAGTCCCTAGTGGGCCAAGAGGCAAGGGATCCAGAAGGGGGACTGCTCTGCTTCTTCTCTTGCCCAGTTCCAGACGAGACCTTTCCTGAGAAGGCCTCCGCTTCGGTGTAGAAGTAAGGCACGCTTCTTTGGCAAATAGGAAAAGAACATCGAGACCTAGAAACGATGGGCTGGGAGCAACCAGAAGATGCCCTTATCTTGGCTTCTTCCCCAAAAAATCAACCCAATGTTGTAGCTCTGGTTTCTGCTCCATTTTGGAACCTTCTGCCCCATGCTGGCTGCTAAGAGGGGCAAAGTAGTGTAGAACACCCTGATCTCCCCGGGGTGGAAAGACCCCCAGAGAGCCCCCCTTCAGCGCAAGAGATGCCCAAAGAGCCGACCTCTTGGCCCTCTTCCACCTCTTCAGACGGTCGTGTCGTCTTCCTCTTGGGAATGGCCAACCAGGAGTGAATGCTTGTCGGGCTCGCTCAGGGCAATGTTGCTGAGGGAGTGCTTGTCGGAGAAGAGGGAGCCGATAGAGGCCTGGCTGTAGTGGATAATTCGGTCCATGAGGCTCAGTTTCGGAGACCCGGGTCCAACCTCGTCAATCCCAATGTGGACACTGATTTCTGAAGAGCTCTTGCACCTCGGCTGGGTGCGGGCGTGGCGCTCGTACTTCTCACAGGTGGGCTTCTTGTAACTATAAGGGGAACACAGCCTGGATTGGTGGAGGGCTCCATGGAAACTCGAGCCAGGGATGGCCCAGACCGTACAGTCCCGGGAGCCCCGTGGGGGAGGCCGGCCTTCCTGGCCCCTTTTACACTGGGGAAGGGAGGGGGGCACACTAGGGGCACACTTTGGGCCAGAGTTTGAAGAGCACAACTCTTCCACAAAAACGTTGTGACTTCTCTGGCTACGGCTTTTGTAGCCTCCAAACATTTTCCTACTTGCTTGAAGCAGGTCAGTCACTAAACCTTTTGATTAACACGACATGATTACCGGCCTTCCTGGCCCAGAGCACTTCAGAGGGAGCCTGGCTCCCTTCCCCCACCTCCAAGGAGCAGGCTCCCCCCCCCCCCCCCCCCCGATTCCAGTCTGCTTGGCAGGGTTTTTGCCTGCAGCTCCACTTTCATCCACCCACCAGCGCTCTCGCCCCGAGAGCAACTTCACCATCCTCCACATCCAGCCCTTTCCCTAAAGGAGGCGGCCACGAGGAAGGCAGGCAACTGCGAAGCATCCCGGCTTCTCCTCCTCATTTAGCAAAAGACCAGGCCCTGGGGGGGGGGGGACTTTTGCTAAGGGAGATCCCCCCCCAAAGGGAAACCCTCCCCTCTCCTGCACAAGTCACCCAGTGGAGCCCCCCTGCCTCCCCCCTCCATCTGCAGAGGCTACTCACAGTTTTAGCAGCAGAGAAGACAACACAACGGACACAGAGGAGGCCGCCATCGCTGCAGAGCCCATCCAAGGCTGCAGGACCAAGCCAATCGGCAGGAAGACGCCTAGGGACAAGCACCGCAGAGTTCAAGGAACCTCAAATACTCAGAGATCGTGAAGCATTTTCACAACTACTTCCTGTCACTGGAAGGGGGGGGGGGGGGGGAGGTAGGCAGGAGAAAAACTAGAACCCAAATTGAAAAGAGGGGATTTAGGAAACCACTTGCACGGAGGAAGTTTCTCCCCCACCCCAATTTATTTTGTCTGCCTTTCTCCACCCAAACTAACTCAAACAAAGGGGTGGGGGAGTCTGGAATTTAATGCCCTCTTAATTTAATGCCCTCTTCTTTCCTTGACCATCATTTCCTGCAGCTTTTTGCTTTACTTATTAGGTCTATACCCATAAATTTAGAGACCTTTTCTGGAGGACACCATGCAGCAGTTCAACACCAAGAAATGCTACATACCTGCAGCGACCGGAATACCAATAAGATTGTATATGAGAGCAAAGACAAAGTTGATCCGTATCCTTTTAACCGTTTTCCGTGATAAATCTATGCTTGCCACCACATCCAGCAAATCATTCTGCAAAATAGGTTGTTGTTGTTGTTTCAGAGATCGCTTAACAGGATTAATCCTATCAATCAACGCTTTAGATTCCTGGTGACTTGACAAAGCTGCATCTCTTTCAGGATCTCCGTTAACTCAACCCCACTGGACTGTTTTAGAAAGTGCATAGATAACCGAAAACTGTAGGGGGCAGGCAGGACAACCCGTAACCCCTAGGGCTGCTTTGCATCCCTTTCCCCCTCCTCTACTTTCCACTCGACTGCTGGGCTGCTGACTCTCACCTGGAGAAGAGACGTACCAAAGGGATCCCTAAGGCTAGGTAGACTAGGCCACCAAGACTAAATAAGCACCCTACCAAGAAAGGGAAATAGAAAATAATCTTTGGAAATCCTGGCTCACCTCTCCACCCACTGGGCCTTTCCCCCTTTCATCCAAATAGGGCTCCTGGCCACCAGAACATGATGGGCTCTTCATCCAATGGAAGAAAAGCTGCCAGCTAGGAGAGCCTTCCAAGTCAGAGCCGTCTAAGGGCGGAACGAGGGGCCGGGAGGCCGTGACCCGCCTCCCCTGAAGGAGTCCTCCTGGGCCCTTCAACGGGGCCCCTTCCCCAAGCAGAGCTGGAGCTGGATCCCCTTGTGGCTTTTCCTCTCCCTTCCTCCTCTCAGGCTTTGGCAGCCTCTCTCCTTCTACCGCACAGCTTACCCTGATCAAAACCATGTCCGCCGCTTCGATAGCCACGTCTGTGCCTGTGCCGATGGCAATGCCCACATTAGCCATGGCCAGGGCTGGGGAATCATTGATGCCATCGCCCACCATGGCCACCCGTTTCCCTTCTTCCTGCAGCTGCCTCACTTTGGCCACTTTGTGGGAGGGGAGCACTTCAGCAAATACTTTGGTGATGCCAACCTAAAAGCAAAAGAGGGAAGGCTGAAGAACCCAACGGAAGGAGGCTCTCGGGGGCAGCGCTGGGCTCCGGCATCCAGGTGAGCCGAGGCCCCCTTGCATTTCAAGAGACTCTGGTCTCCAGTCGTCAGTAGGGAGGGATGTTAAATGAAAATTAGTGACGGGAAGACTGACTGGGGGGCGTCCAGGGAAGCCTCGGGCATCCAGCCGCTTACCTGAGCAGCGATGGACCTGGCTGTCTTGCCATTGTCCCCTGTTATCAGAACCACCTCCAAGCCCATCCCCTGCAGGGTCCGCACAGCAAGATCCGCTTCGGGCTTCACGGTGTCAGCAATGGCGACCAGGCCACACAGCTCCCCTAGGAGACAAACAGGATCCCATGAAGGCACCGGAGGCCTCCAGGAAAGGCCTGCTGTCCCATTATTGTGTTCCTTCCTAAACGGGGATCTGACTTAGTCGTGTTTTACAAGGTTAAAACAGGGGTTGATGGTTGTGAGCTGCTCACAAATGCTGAGAGTCAGGCAGCCTAACAAGCTTAAAGAGTAAAAAAAATTGGCCACTTGGTTAGTTGCTACAAGAAGATCGCACAGACGGACTACAAACAACGGCATCACAAAGTAGCAGCAATGGTGCATTGGAAAATTATAAATTTTAAAAATATATCTTATTGCATTTATATGAATGATTTGCACTTATACAAATGATATGAAGGATTTCCAGAAGCCAAAATTACTTAAGGTCAAATATGTGGTTGGGATTAAAAAAGGAAAAAAAGTCTTGGTTAGGGTTCCTTCAGGCCTCAGGACCAGTCAGGCCAATGAAGGCTCACTCGTTACTTCACTCTGGTTGCAATTGTTAATATTGGAACAAAGTACAGATCTATAAATGGCTGAGGCAACTATTCTTCTGGGGAGCTGAGACAGGGGTAGCAGTGAAGAACCAAGAGGGGGGAGATTTCTCATTTTTAGTCAAAATAAATGTGTCAAACTTATTATTTCAGCCTTTTATTGCAGGAAAAATGTGAAAAATAACACATCCATAAAATCAGTCTTTAGAAACATACATTCACAGGCAATGATTGTGTATATGTCTAGGGAAGACACAATTTGCACATTAATGACACAACTTCATAGAGAATAAACCTAAATTTGTTTAAGCAAGAGGAAATAGGAAAATACTTTGTTCATCCAAGCTGGTCTTAACCCTGGTTTATTGTGGCATTCGTTTTAGGCCAACATATGATTGAAATATTCCAATGAAACACAGAATGTTTTCCTTCTAAAAGAGTTTAGTAAGAATATATATATATATATGGTATTCAGCTTTGTTCGGGTGTTTTCCCAGGTCATTATAGTTGTGCTTTTAAAGTTGAAGCAACATTTCGGCAGAATCGCATCTGCCATCATCAGGCTGCTGTATAGTGTTCTATACAAACGCCTGGCAGACAAGACACACATAAAGACTGAACTATGCACCCTGACTAAAGTACTGACAGCCAACGGCTTCCACAAAAACAAAATCACCGGCTTGATCCACAAAAACACACTGAGACATAATGGAGACCTAGAAGATGAACAGACCTATGGAACAGCTGTCCTGTCCTACATAAGAGGTACTACAGACAAAATCAGTAAGATACTACACAGGCATCACATCAAGACTGCCTTCAAAAGAGGCTTCCGGTTTGAGCTTCTTCAGCGACAGACCGAAATCACATCTCTGCGAGGCTTCGATTCGTGCTTGCCACTGGAGTGCCCCGAGCCGGCTGGTTTCAGGGCTAAGCCACCCCGTAGAGGTGGTGAAAAGGGGGGAGACTGCCTGCAGAGGTGAGGAGAGCCACATCTCTCCTCCCCAGTTGGCCATTACTCCCTTTCCCGAAGGCGGTTGTAGCGGTGGTCAGAAATGGCCACCACAAAGAAGAACTCGACTGGAAAAGAATGTGCAGGAGGAAGATAAGAAGAGAAAGTTTTGGTTGACCGGGTCAAACAGCAAAAGCAACAAATAAGGTACCCTGGAATTGAAACTGTTAAAAAACAATAACATTGTTCCCTAAGAAGATTTTTAAGCTGCGAAGGAGAGAGAAAAGGGAAAAGATTTGGGTTTTTTCCCCCTCCTTTTCCTATACTGACAGCTAAGAGACTTAAGCAAGAAATTGAAAAAAAAACCACTTTGACATCAAAAGGCATTTAATGCTGAAAATAAAAAGTCAAAGGGATAATAAAGATTTCTGGATAATTAAAAGCTTTTGAAAACAGAAAAGGAGAGAAAAAGAATAAAAGGGTAGGATCTGGAAGGGAGGAGACTGCCTGGAATTAAAGAATTTACAGCAAAATCTCAACAAGACTTCCAAAAGATACATTCTAACCAAAATATTGCAACAAAAACCCCAGGAAGAGAAAGTCGAAAAAGAAATAAGAAGATATAACTCGGGACTATCTGGATTACTTGATGATTTCTGGATTCTTGGTTATTGTTTTGAATGACTAAAATCAATCGGGTGGTTGTTTAAAACTGTTTAAAATGGCGCCACTTTTAGAAGAACTGAAAATGGAACTTAAAAAGTACAAAGAAGATGCACAAGAAGGGAGAGGTTCTTTTGGCTTCGTATTTCAGTTTTTAGAAATGGAGATTTGGAATTATGAGAAACAACAAGAAATGCCTGCAGAACAAGAAGATTGCGACAAAGAAGAAGCCATCTTTAATGAACAAGTAATCTTAGATGGGGGAAAAAAGGAAAGGGGAGAAAGAGAATGGAAAGTTTAAGATTGGGAAAAACAACTCACCCCCCCCCAAAAAATAGTGAAAAATAAGTATAAAATCAGAAAGCAACAGAAGAGGGAAATGCAGAAGAGAGAATTAGAACTAGAGAGACAAGGGGGTAAAAAGGGGAGGGAGAAGATGAGAGGGAAGAAAGAAAGGAAAAGAAGTTATAAAGGACAGAAGCAAATATAGAGAAACGGCCTATTTAGAGATAATGGGTGAAAACTTAATGGAAAAAGGGATTCTGCAAAGGTACATAAGATAGTATGGTTATATTAGAAACAGAAATAATTTTAGAAAATATGAAACAATGTGTGATTAAAATGTCTGATAAAATAGCTA